TATTATTTTTTTTTTTTTTAAATGTGTGAAATTCTCGGCCGCACCCAACCGCGGGTCCGACCTCAGCGGTTGGGATCCTGACCGCTGGCCGAGATGGACCCCGCGGTCATGACCGCGGGGGATACATAGGCCGCAAAAGGCCCGCAAGTACCATTTCGACGCCGCCGTAGACAAAACCAAGAGGGATAGCCTCGTCGGGCCCTCACCCCTCGGTCCCTTCGTGCTACTCTGATATCCCTGCGTCGTCGCCGCTCGATCTCGATCCCTAAATCTCCTTGACGAAAGTTCGGTGCTGTAACCAATAGCATTAGGCTCAATTCTGGGTCTAGTTAAAACGCACACCTAAATAAACAGATATTGTGCGACGCGCAGATCTACCGAAACATTTTCAGAATCATAGTATTGTCGATGCCGCTCTCCGCACGTACGCGCAAGTCACAGACAAGCGCACCAACCACGAGACATGATGTTTTTAATCCTAGTTTAATCAGAATTAGTAAAAAAACTTGGATCGGCAACTTCGCCGACTTTACTATCATCAATAAGCAAAAAGATCACGTGCGCCTTAAATTTGCGCCCCCAGACACTCTCTACTCTAGTCACCCATCCAACCAACGTAAGTCGCAGACTCAGCCGCGCCTCACGCGGTATACTTAAACTTTAAGCCAACTTATTTTATGCCGCTTGCAAAAACCAGGGCGGATACACTTGTAAGGGTATTCGCGCTGACAACGGGTTTGTCACTCCGTGTCTTCTGTGTTATAATCGCCACATGTGGGTGTTCACGAACGAAGGGCGAAGGACGCGTGTTGTTGTGGATTGTTAGATCTTTTAATCGAATATCCAAATTGTTATGTTTTGTCTACAGTTTTAAATGCTTTGCATCGGCGATGAAAGTGTGGATTTCGATTCACAGATGCACTCGTTTTTTTTTTCCCTTCTTGTTTTGCTTACAATTTGTCTTTCATGAGCTCTAACCGTCGACCACATTTCGCGTCGCGTCTTGAACAAGGGTTCATTTGATGTGTTATGTGAAAATAAAGGATCACACACCTCCTCCTCAACGTTCCCATGCACTGGTGTCATAACCACCATTTTGTTTCCGTGGATTGTTGTTGGCCTGAATGGCGGGGCAATGTAATCATTATGAGGGGGTTATAATCTCGCCGATGCGAGGCGGACGATCACATAAAAACGAAACGAATGGAGAAGGGAGTATAAACGTCGGAGTCGAATTCATTGTCTCATTTTCGAAAAACACAAAAAACATAAACGAAAAATATTTGTGATTGGACATGACAACAACATCATTATTCCATGGGGCGATGCGACGCAGCACGCAAGTGTCAATGAAGTGGGAACAATAACACAACGAACATATAAAAGTTTTCGGTGCTCCTTCCAATCATCCAATAATCGACACGTAAATTACCACAAACACGCAACACTACCAAGACGACCGTGTCAGTTCGTCCACCATAACACAACGAGATGAACCCGATTCGTACTTCATGCAAGCGGCGTTTTAACGAGCACAACCACACAGCCGCAGAATATCGGCCGTGTTCTAACACGGGTGACAAAACCGCCCTTATACTCCCCCCTCAGACCCCGCCGTCCCACCCCACACCCTGGGCACTACCACGAAAACCACCGACGACGGAGAAATAGAAGCACAAGGAACCACTGCACTCCACTACAACTACGAAGACGATGCCATCACATTCACTGTATTCCATAAAGCACACACATTCACTATCGAACGGACCCGGACGACGGATCCAAACACTTGGACGAAACCACTGTCAGGGTGGCCTTTGTTTAAAGAGCCAAGCAGGCGCGCGTAGTCACAACGTCGTCCGTCACAAGAAAGATCGACGCAAGGCTGCACAATCACCGCGTATAGGTCTATGTCAAAGATCGACAAAAGTGCACACAACCACTGCGCATCATGAGGTGAGACGAAAGCATGACACACGTGCGCACAACAATGACATACTCCACATGTCGCCACGTGCACACACAAAACGAAACGAACGAAACCACGCCACACACATAGACATCATTCACTCGTGTTTCATGCACTCCGCCAGAGCGTCTCGGAGGGCCAACGCCTCGTCTGTCGAAGTTGCCATGGCCACCGGTTGGAGGGGCCCTTGGATGCCCAGGCCCACGTGCCGCCTTACTCCATTCGCATCCACCTCCCATAGCAGAATGTCGTACAAAGGGATGCCAGTGTCAAGGAGAAGGTTATGCAATATGGACGCGGCTGTAAACTGCTGCGGAAGCATGTCCAAGTTTGTCTTGTACGTCCACAGAAACAATCTCCAAATGCCATTCAGCCTGCTGAACACCATCTCCACCACTCCCCTCGCCACCTTTTGTTTGTTGTCAAAGCGCTCTGCATCACAATCCTGATTTATGCCTCCGTAGGGGACAACCATCCATTCCGACGGGGTTATCCATTATCGGCCAAAACATAGCCGTTCGTCCTCACCCAGAACTGCAGTGCCACAAGAGGACCACAGAAGAGCAACCCCAACTCCACGCGCTCCCACAAGCTGGACAGTTGGAGCACCCTGATGTCGTGGCAAACTGCCCGGGTATCCCATGTGCACATCGAGGACAAGCAAGTCCAGATCGACGACAACCCAAGCGATGATGGAGAACCGCCTCTTTCTATTGTAGTAGTTTTTGCTCGGGGCATTGGCAGGCTTGTCCACATAGATGTGAGTGCAGTCTATGCACCCGTGCAAACGCCCGCAAAACGATGTGCTTCCTCACCGCCGTCGACCAACTAATCTTGTCGCCGTACACCCTCAACAGCGCAACAGTGACATCACAGACAGCAAGAAGACCCGAGGCCCTGCCGATGCTGAAGTTGCAGTGCTGCTCTCGTACGTTGCGCAGGAAGCCCACCTGTACAACGCGTATGCCACATTGTGCTCGGGCTGCAATGCCACTGAAGATGAGGAGCACACGCCTCCGCGATCTCCCGAAACACATGCAGCGACATTCGAAGCTTCTCCCGGAAGTAGTCGTGAGTGGCGTCGTCGCATTGCCTGAGGTTTTCCCACGTGCCTCCCGTCCTTCGTTTTATCCACCATCTCGGCATTGCCCGTGGAATAATTCCACAACCCAACATGTAGCACAACTCAATGACCGCCTCCGTCGTCGCCACATAATCGGGTCCGTCATGCGCAACATCCGTCAGCATTCTTCATCTACGCGCTCGCATCTGCGCCTTCATTCAAGTTCGTCCCAGCATCCTTTCCTGCTGACAGAGAAGAACAACAGTGGACACAGTCGTCGCCACAGCCGCCAGCTCCAGCAGTGTCAACAGCGGACATCCACACTCTCCGCCGCTATCCATGGCCGCCACGTCCTAAGCGATGACATCTCTCCGCAGCTACACCGATCCTCCCGCCACGGAAACGCAAACAGCTCACGCCGCCACCTTTCCGGGGATGTCGTCCTCCTCACGTCGACGCGTCTCACGCCGCACACGCCCGTCACTACAACATCGTCGACCATGGCGAAACCCGCTGCGCATACACGCACTGAGCGGTAGCTGGACAAGGGTGATGCCTGCCGGTAAGCCCGCTTCAGCAGTGCACCGTCTTTGCGCCGCCAGCCCAACGTTGGCGCCGTCACCACAGCCGCAAATCGGATTCAAATTTCAAATGTCAAACGCGGAGGTACCCTTTACTGTTTTTCATTTTCTTCGACCGAGCGAGGCCCTTTCCCGCCGGACTCCTTTGGACCACGCCATCACCACACAGACACCGCCCGCTGGACCACGGACCCGCGACCCCGCAGCCGCATGTTTTCATATGAAAAAGGTCGCGGGCAGGCCACAAGGAGACGTCCTCGGAAGACGTCCCCGAGGATGTGTGGAACGAGGTCGTAAAAATCCCTTAAGAGCCACAAGGAAATTTTCCTTGTGGCTCAAGGAACTCGTACGGACTGTCTAACGACGCCCTGATTGTATTGTATTGTGTTGTATACCCGCTTGCACAGCTGACGTAATCTTTTACAATGTTTGTATAGCCGCTTGCACAACTGACGTAATCTTTTGCAATGTTTGTATACCCGCTTGCCCAACTGACGTAATCTTGTACACCGTTTGTACACCCGCTCGCACAACTGGCGTCATATTGACTGCTGATTTTGCATGATAGGCGTACAATGTTTCTTTTGTACAGAGCTTCACTGTCATCGCTGCACCGTTGAGTAGGCTGTTGAGGAAGGAGACAGTCTGGAAATGGGACAAAGGGGACAAAGACTGTACCTCAGCCCTCAAGAGATCGAAGAAAACTCACTAAGTGGTAGCTCACCCAACCCTGCCATTTATAGTGACGTGTTAGCGCAATTTCCGTATAGTACCCGCGTCGTATGAGTAAGTGGTATAGCGACATGTGAAAAATGAGCAGGCTGATAGCTGTAGTCTGGATCTTGTGTAAACATTAATGAGGTTGGTAACCGGTGGGGGGGAGGGGGGGCGGGGGGGGGGGAGCAAGGGGGGAGCGGACAATTTGGCCTTTATCGGTGCAGTCAGGGTTAAGTCAGGCCGGAGTGCCTGGAGCATCCCAAAAGATTGTTGCAGCGTATGACATGAGGGATGCTGGACCCGGCTCCCGACCTGTAATGAAATTTCTTTTGTCCAAAAAAGAAAGCTGAGGAAGGGGAGTGTGATGTGTTGGGAACAAGACGGGTAGTACAGGATTGGAGGCGTCAGAATACCGAAAATGAAATTATATACAGGTTTGAGATTTTGTCACGCAAACTTCCCAAGAACTGAAGTGCAACGTTACAGTCTGAGAGCGCGATTGATGAGCCAGAGCATTTCTTCGTGGTCGTTTGGGGGATCGCCAGACCACTCTGGAAATGTCCAAAATGAGAATGAACTTCCCGCTAGAACATAGCCCGATGCACCCGCCACATTTTTGTCTTTTTCACATTTCGAGACAGGTGTGGCGAGACCCTTAGGGCCTCGCCACACCAATGTCGAAACATCACGAAATTCGACATATGTCAGGAGATTTTTGACATTCCCTCTTTCGACAGAAAACCCCTCTTCGCCACACGGCATGTCCAAGTGAAGAACTCACTAGTCGTATGCACAAAAGAGACAAACTGGGGTGAAGATACGACAAGCGTTGGTGCGTTCTCTTTTTCGACATTCCAGCAAGAATTCGACCTCCCATCCGAGGACTGTTGAAAATGTGCGAGTTGCAGGCTTGAAGTGGAAACGAGCCCTTCTCGACAGGAGGTGTCGAAACCCTTTCCCTGACAGCTCCTGATTTTTTACTGCATCTCGGATTTGGACATGCTGTGTGGCGAGGAGAAAATGTCAAAAATGCAGTTTTCGACATTGGTGTGGCGAGGCCCGTACTGGAGACAGAGCTGCTGCATTTCCTCGTTGTCCGCAGCAGCAGCGGCTAAAGCGTGTGCAAGAGCGAGATGAATGCCTCCCCCAAGATAGGGACAAAGAAATATTGGTCTCATTTGTAATACATGTAATTCCGCCCACTGATCTTTCTGGGGCCCAATCCATGTATTTGCGAACACGTCAGCTACTGACAACTACTCAATTTGTCTTTTCCGGGTTTACACATTTCATCATCTTCATATTTGGTGGGGGGGGGGGGGGGTGGGGGGGGGGGGGTCAAGTTCTGCACACCGATAAACAAAAACCAATAGTTCTGACACCATATCCTGCAGAATTGTTTTTTTTTTTTTTTTTTAAGAAGAAGAAGAAGAAGAAGAAGAAGAAGAAGAATGTATGGCCAATACAAGGTCTTTTTTTTTTTTTTTTTTTTTTTTTTTTGGACAAATCTCCAGTCAATACAGGGTCTTGTAGTAAACAGTGGTGGATTATTTCCCCCAAATCAATGCTAAAAACACTTGAAAAAAAAGGAAATTTGAGCCAACGAGCCTAGCTCAGTTGTTCCACCACAGAACGGTTGAAATACAGACCTCACTTCTTATCCACATATGAGGGAACCTGATGAATAAGACAAAATTAAAAAATTTAAATTTCTGCATGACATCAGGCCGGTTACGTCAGTGACGATACATCAACGCGGTTACCCTTTCAAAAAGGAGATCCTCCCCGACGGTGCTAGATGTGTCTGCTCGTATCAGCACACCTAGCATCCGGGTTGTT